GGGCGGCGCGCAGGCGCGGGGAGCCGCGGCGCCAGGGCTCGCGGGGGTGTGCGGGGGGCTCGGGGAGCCCTCACCTTACCTTCTCCAGCATCTCCACCGCCGGCCCGTCGTCGTCCTCCCGCTCCGTCCCGTTCGCCGCCGCCGCCTCGGCCTGACATTCACCCGTGGGGGAGAACTGAGGTCGCTTAAAGCGTTTGGTTCGGCTCTTGCCCATGGCGACAGGCGCTCGTGAGGAAAGCCGAGAAAGGAGGGCACCAGCAAGACGGGTGCAGAACGGGTGCCCGGGTCTTGTCGCCAAGGAGGTTTCGAGCCGCGGCTCAGCTGGGCCCACTGACGGCCCCAGCGCACATGGGGAGCAGTGCGCAGGCGCGCGGCGTGTCGGCTTCCAGGACCGGGGCTGGCACGGGCAGTGCGCAGGCGTAAAGGAGAGGGTGGGCGGGGCCATGGAGGGGCGTGTTTACCTGGATTTAAGAGGCTGGACTTGAATGAAAATACCTGTGTGACCCATCAGCTAATGACGTTGTTACTGATCCTCGCCAAAACTGTATCTCCATAACTGTCGAATAGAACTACTAATACTTAACTTGCAAACAGCGTAGGGCTCAATTAAAATTACTTCTTCCAAGTACAAATCACACGTTTACTTTGTGTCCCATGTGCCTAACAGCTCCTGCCATACACAAAAGCCAGTTAATGTCTTAGAATGAATATACGTCTGTATTTGACAAGACAGACTCCCTTAAGAAGCCCTCCATGGTGGCACAACGGGTTAAAGCGCAGCACTATGAAGCTGTCGATAGCCACTGCCCCTCGAGTTCCATCCCCGGCCAGGGAGGTGACCCAGATGGCGCAGCAGACCTCTCCTGTTTCGCCTGTTGCTCCCCTCAGCAGTGTATTCAGTCGACCTACCTTCCCACCTTGTCTCTGGTGAATTCTCTCAACCCCAGCCCAGCTCTGGCCTGTGTTCCAGTTCTTGTATGCATAAATAAATGAATCTTTAAAAAGAGAAGTTATGGGCCCTCGCTGGTGGCGCAGTGGGTTGAAGCACTGCATTGAAAAGCTAAGGCCACTTCCGCATGGGTTCGATCCCCGCCTGCCCCGGAGGTGACCACGTGGCGCGGCAGACCTCTCCTGGCCCGCCCGCTGCTCCCCTCAGCAGTGTCCTTCGTTGATCTGCCTGTTCTGCTCCCCGCTCTGTCTCTGGTGAATCCTCTCACCCTCAGCATCTCTGGCCTGTACCCCAGTTCTGTACAAATAAATAATCTTTAAAAAAAAAAAAGAGAGAAGTTATGTAAGTTTTCTGCCTCAAATCACCAGTGATTTGTTATAGGATTAAGTATGTTAATGTGTTTAAGATATTCAAAAGATACTGGCACATAATAACCACTATATACGTTTGGTTGAAATTTTTTATTAAGTAATTGACAAAAGGATTGTTTCACAAATAGCAACTGAGCACCATGTACAGTGCTGGACATTGAAGTATCTACCATGAGAGATTTAGTCTCTGTTCTCTCCTTGTGGAGTTTTCTGTCCTATAAGATGTTAAATATATAATAATATGAATAACTACAGTATGGTTAAGTGCCAAGAGAGAAGGAAATATACAGAACCTTAGGTAGTCTTTATAATTACATGTATTTATTGAGCACTCAATAAATGCATAGCTTTCAGAACACTGTATGAAAAGTTCCACCCACATATTAACCCTTCCCTCAAGGCAGCAAAGTTGTGAAAAAACTTGAACTTACCAACTTTATGTACATAGAAAACTTGGAGTCCAAGTATGCTGGTAGGTTTTATTTCTTAGACCTCTGGTCTCTGATCTCTGCCACCACCACAGATCTAGCTACTGTGGTTTTTGGTCTTGACCACATAGCCTTCTAGTCTCTTTTTACCCTACCCACCCATTAAGTAGGTAGTGTTTTCCAAAATGAATATCCCACCAACTTTCTCATATTCACTCCCTTGCTTAAAATATTTCAAAAGCATCCCTTTAGTACAAAGATCAAAATCTTTTTTTTTTAAGATTTACTTTATAAAAGTTTATGTATGCAGGCCAGAGGTGCAGGTGGTGAGGATTCACCAGAGACAGGACAGGTAGACTGATTGAAATACAATGCTGAGGGGACCAGCAGGTGGGACCGGAGAGGTCTGCTGTACCATGTGGGTCAGTTCCCTGGCTGGGGATTGAACTCGCTTTGCAGTGGTTGGTGATAGCTTGAAAGCCTTAACACTTTAACCTATGCCACAGGGAGGTCCCAAAGATAGAAATCTTTAGTGACTTGTAAGATTTCATTCCAGTCTCCAGCTTCATCTCCCATCTGTCTCACATTCTGTCCTTTAGATATCCTCTCTAGTGTCAAACATTCTTTTGCCTCAGGACTTTAAATAAGGCCCAGACCCAACCCATTCCCAGGGAAGGCAAGTGTCACCTGTTCATAGATAACATCTCTGATTTCAAAATCTGAAACAGGTTTTCCTTTGAGACAGCACATAGCCTGTTCCTTTCAGCTAGAAATTAGTTAATACTTTAAACTTGTGTACAGTTATATACAATCTTCATACACATAAGCCCATGAGGATAAGACTGTGTTTTTGCGTATCATTGTATTTCCAACACTGGCCTGAGGCCTAGCTCAAAATAGGCATACAATTTCTTCAATGAAGAGACCACATAATCAGGGCATGTAATCCAGAAGAACAATAGAAGATTACAACAAAAAAAATTCCTGCTGTTTCTTTCACTGTGGGGAATTGCAAGAAAAAAAAATTATTCAGCTTTAAGGAGGTGAGGGGGAGAAATTTATGATGTTTGTGCTGGTTATTCTTTTGCTAAGATGAAAGATAAGCCTGTTGAGAGTAAGAACCATTCCAGGAGCCATTGAAGATGTCAGTCTTAGGAGACCAATGGCCTTTAATCATTTAATAATAATAGTCTTAATTTAAAAATTCCATTCCAACAATGATTATCTAAACATTACCTTTTCTTAAAAATGATCTATCAAGAGTGTATCTTTTATTTATTTTTTAAAGATTGATTTATTTATGCATACAGAACTGGGGTACAGACCAGAGGTGCAGGGGTGGTGAGAGGTTTTACCAGTGACAGAGTGGGGAGCAGAACTGAAAAACACTGCTGAGGGGAACAGCAGAAGAGACTGGAGAGGTCTGCTGCACCAGCTCCCTAGCACCCTTGAATAAAGTCCCTGTGATGTCCACTGCCTTTACATGGTTACTGCTCTCTGCCTCAGCTGGCCCTCCAAAAGGTAGCTCACTAGTCCTTAAGAATGCTGCTGCTGCTAAGTAACCCAGCCTCTAGATCCAGTTTCGCCACTTAAACAGGCTGATCAAAGAAAGGATCGATTCTCTTCTGTAGTCCTCGGTTTCTTCATTTACAAAGACTCTTTAAAGGGTTACGACATATCAGAGGGTTGTGAACCATGCACGTTCTTTCAAGAAAGGCCTTCTTGAAGGAAAACCAAACACGGAGTGCTTCGTGAGCAGATGTCAGAGCCAGATGAAGGTAATCTGGCTGCTGATCTCCAGTTTGTTCCTCAGGGATGTGTTAACAGTGTAATTGCTGCCAGCCAACCCAGAGTGATTGCAAAGCCATCTCTTGCCCATCAGAACACAAATCTACCATTGCTACTAGATCAGTTCCTGACGCCAGGGGGTTACACTCAACCTAGACTTGGAACTTCAAGCTAAAGTTACTGTACAAGTATATTAAGAAAAATCATCCCAAGTTGGAAATAAAGAGGATGACTGCTATTTTTTCACTGTCATATTGGCCTCATGTCTCACAGGTCCACCCAAGTACTATCTCGCCAGGGCAGTGCTGTCCAACCACTTTTCTAAAATGATGAAAACACTGTCTGGTACAGTAACCACTAGCCATGCATGACTGCAGAGTACCTGAAATGTGACCAAGGAACTCACATTTCCACTCATCAGTCCAGATAGGCGCACACCACTAATGGCGGTGTACAGCAAAACAGTGGTTCTGAACTGCAAAGACTTGAGCTAGCGGTCATGTCTGCAGGTGCTGTGCTTGTCCCAACTCTGTAGTTGTTAGCATCGAGTAGATAGAGGTAGGAGCTACTGACATTTGGGGTGATGGGTTTTTTTGGGGGGCTGTCCTATGCATTGTAGGAGGATGCCAGTAGCACCCACAGTTCAGACAACCAAACCACCTTCAATGTCCCCTGGGCTGCAAAGCTGTCTTCTGTTGAAAATAATTGCACCAAAGAATGTACTTTCGTTTAACTGTTAACTTGGGGGCCTGTTATATTGGAACCTTGTCTAATTGGCCCACTGAGTATTATTTCTCCAGGGCAGTGTTGTCCAACAGACTTTTCTGTTGGATATTAATTTTCAGTTAGCTATTTCTATACTAAGAAATTGCAAAGTATTTTTTCCAGTAAATATGAAATCTGTATTTTTTTGTCCAGTAATTAACAAATTCAAACAATGCAGCTTGTTTCAAACAGTACTATTTTCATACTTTTCTAAAAAAAGTTATTTATTTATGCATTTAAGAGCTGAGGTGTAGGTTGGAGGTCATTATTTTTTTAGATGTGATAGCAATGTTAAGAGTCCTTATCGTTTGGAGATATTTATAAAGAAATGATATTTGGTATTAAAATAACCCTTAGCCTATGGGTGAGAAAGGAAGAAACAGGGTAACAGAACATTGGTTAAGTCCCTGTTTTTAATTGCTACAGATGGAAGATAGATGGGTGTTCTCTTGATGTTTTCACATGTTCAAAACTTCATAAGAATATTGGTTTTTTTTTTAATGGTTTTTAGGTTAGAACAGGAAAAAAATAAGTCTGATATAAAAAAATACAGGAAATTTAAAATTTAAGATCTACTTCTAGCAAGGATACACTTGACTTGCTTCATAACAAAAATACTTAGGTTTAGTTTCCATGTTATTTAAATTATAGGTCTTAGCATTTAGTGTTATGTTATGAACCTCGCCCAAAATTATTTAAGAAAACTTGATTTAATATATTTATCTATAAATCCAATTTCAACACAGAAGTCAAGATTCATTCATTCAAACAGTAAATAAGAACTTTCCATATTCCAGATATACGTATTTGTGGTAAGGACTCAGAACACAGACTTAGGGAGGTGTGTGTATGGGGGGAAATGAATTAAATAAATAAATCCAGAAAGTCATATTTCTTACATACATTTCATTTAATCCTCTTAACAATTCTGTGAGAGCTGTGAATAGGCCCCCTCGAGGGAAGTAGAGGTCGGTGAGCATATGGACTCAGGTCTGTAGCTGAATCTGTAATTGCCAGCTTGGGCTCCTCCACAAGCTCAGGCGAGGCCAGACTGCAGATATCCTCATGCTGGCTGCAAGCGGCTCTCTGGTCCCTTACACAGATCGGAGTTCTTCAAAACGTGCTCCTTTGACTCAGGTGGAATATTCCATCAGTTATAATTGCAACTAGGAAATGCTGACTTTGGCTGATTAAACAGAACAGACTATTAATTGGATATGAGGTACTTCAGAGGATTATCTGGGAGATCCAGCTACTAGTTCAAGGCTAAACTGTAAGGAAAAAATGCCTAAGCCCAGGCCCTTTAACTGCTGGGCTGCCATCATTGAGTGCAGGGCACCTGCCACGGAATAAACAGCCGCTCTGCCCCATCACCCGCACTCCAAATACGAATAGTTAGGCATACTTTCTGGATTGCTCTGGAAAAGGTGGACCGATTTGGTTAGCGTTCCTTAGCGAAAGGAGCTGGGTAGAGAGAAACGATGATAGATATCCCAATGTACGCAATGAATGCTGTTGAGGTACTGCTCAGAAGTGTTACAAAAGCAGTATTATTTCAGTAAAAAGACTTCTCTGGTTCCACTACCTGAACGCCAGCTCAGCAGCCAGCAGTGTCTTACCCGGACTATGGCAGTGATTCCCTCCCTGGTCGTCTCTTCTGTTCACACCATCGTCAGTCAAAATCCACGAAATCACTGCCCTCACACAACTCCCAACCCCTGCTTCCTACTTCACGCCTCACCCCTCTCCACTTCCTTGATACCAGGAATAATCAAGAACTGCCCCTGTGCTCACAGCCCAGCCAGCGACATACAGATGTCTTAGGAACTGATTTTTTTTAGAAAGTCTCACATGGGTTGGATGCTTCCAGTGCAGTTCTTCAGCACCCTGCACCTCTACCTTCACAGCACTCAATCACATGTTGACAGCTTGATCAACGACCTGTATACCCAGGAGATAAGTTGAGGGCAAAAATTGTTCCTCACACTTTTTTTTTTTATGCTTCTAGAACTGGGGTACAGGCAAGAAACAGGGAAGGTGAGAGGATTCACCAGAGACAGAACAGGGAGCAGAACAGGCAGATCGATGAAGTACACTGCTGAGGGAAGCAGTGGGAGGTCAGGAGAGGTCTGTCGCGCCATGTGGGTCACCTCCGGGGCCAGGGATCGAACTCGCACTGAAGCAGCTGTGGCTCACTTGCAGTGCTGCGCTCTAACCTGTTGCACCGCCAGGGAGGGCCCCCTCACACATTTTTAATTCCCAGTATAGCACACTCAAAATGTCAGTTTTTAAAATGTTTGTGTTCCACAAACTGGCAAAGCACAGCAAAAGAAATGCTCAGATTCCGTGAAAAATAAATTGGTACCAGAGACTGGGGCCAGAGGAAGCGCATAAAACATAGGCACGAAAGTTGAGCTGGAGGGTGTGATGCATATTCACGTGGAACACGGTATAGCACTGCAAATACTGACAAATTTAAGGGAGAAAATAAATTTTAAAATAAGAGCTAACAAAGTTTGTGCTACATGATGAAGCATACCTTATACTTCTTATTTTTAATGGAAAAAAAAAAGAGGAATTATACTTATGTAAAAGCATAGAAGTATAAGAGCCTGAAAGAAGGAGGCTCAACTTTCTATGCTTTGGAGGAGAGGAAATGACAGGGCCTCTTTAGTTGTTGATGAAGGCAGAACATCTATCTGTCAGCTAGGATTCTTAGCTCAGTCTCTAGAGACTGTCAATTAGGAGTTCAGTTTCAAAGAAGAAAAAAACCGCTCAAAAAGCATGAGCAGGTAGTTATGAGTCTTAATATTTTCAGTGAAGTTATTGGTAAAGAGGAAAATATATTTTCATGCTTTTGATATTTTTAATTTTACATATATTTATAAATAATATATATACATCCTTATTCATTTTTGCACAATGTGTGAGAGGAGAAATTTCCTCTCAGGTGCTGTCCCCATGAAATTACCACCACCAAAACACCCATGAACCAGCACCACAGACTCCTGTCCGCTCTTCCCTCCTGTTTTGATTCCTCTTCCTCCCCTATTTCTGATTCATAGATTGCCTGCTAGTTTGTCTTTATTTTCCCTGATCCCTTGTCTGGTTTCCCTATATTCCTCCTGTAAGTGAAGTCATTCAATACTTTTTTCTCTCTGACTTACTTCACTGAGCATGATCTGCAAAAAAGGAAAACATTTTTAGATTTGTCATTAGTGCCAAATATTCTTTTTCTTTCCAGTATTCAGTTTGTTCAATTCAAAAGATAAGCAGAATTTCCTAACAATTACTTCAACTGAGCTGATGACTTTGGGTTACGTTGTAGCAAGGTAGTTTTGTTTTTAATTTGACTTCTCATATTTAGACTTAATGCACAGACTCTGCAGTTAATCAGTTTAAATGCTTACATAAATACACATATTTAACTTGATATAAAGCTGGAAAATTAGCATTATACCTTTCTATACCTAAGAGATGAGCATTATGTTTATTTAATAAACAAAGAATCTAAGGTTACATATTTGAGTAAGGTTACAAAACTACAAGCAGCAGATCTGAGATCTGAATCCAGACAGTGGCAGGAGTCCGCAGTCTTAACCTTATGGTCTTAACTAAGTCCAGTACACACTCCTAAGCATCCTTTCAACCTGAGCTAAGAGACTTTGGCTCTGGTGCTGGTTGTGTCTTTAGTAAGTCTTGGGGAAATGAGAGTAGACATTGAAAATCTGAGACTTTTCCCCATTTGTAAAATTAGAGGATTGCACTTAATTATAGCTTTCAAATAGTTTGGAGGTGCAAAGAAATGCTAACGAGGCAAGGATCCTTGGGCCTTTCAACTTGCTTAGCCTTTGTTTTTTAAATGAACTGTTCTGCTAAAGGCTATGAAAATTTTCTGTAACTGTAACCTGAGTCCTTTTTTTGTGGAGACAATGGTCTTTAAGTATTCTGCATCAGGTAACCTTTGAAGCTCTAAGTACATGCAAAACAGAAGTACACACATAGGCATATCTTTTTCAGGGAAAGGATCCAACCTTTTCATTATATACTCACATAATTGATGACTCCAGAAAGGATTAAAGACCTATAAAATCCCTCTTCAACTTTGTAGTTTGGGGGAAAACTGGCAATTCAAGTCGGTAAGGCACAGAGAAAACTGCATTTCCTGATTATGAGCCAAATGTTATCAGACAACAATGAATGAAGCATAGTAAAAGCACTCAAAAGTCTAATAAGCTGGGTAGCTACAACTGCTATTTGAAATCTGCTCTACTGGACAAAGACCTGAAATAAAATATCTCATTTGTAACTATCCTGTTCTTGACACAATTGTTTTTAAATTTTTTCAGTGATAAACTTACAATGAATCAAGAAAAAAGCCCAACACTAATTATATATAAAGTATTTATTTTTATGCACATATTTACCTACAAAATTTACAGAAAATAAAACAATGCAGAATACACAGAATACCCTCTTAAGACTTCTTAGGACCAGAGGGTTTTATTGCTGCAGTTCAAAGAATAAAATTCTATACGTGTGAAAGCCAAATGAACACACTGAAGTTAGATGATAGCCTTGTTAAAAAGTTTTTGTCCTATTATTGAATTATTAGCTTTATGTTAAATGAAATTTAAAAGACAGCTCATGAAATAATTTAACCTTTTCAAAATCTTCTAATAAACAGGTAAAAGGCACCTCCAGTTCTTTAAAATATTTACAATTCCAATAGTTTAATTTTAAGGGCTATTATAGTACATGTGACTAATATGCATACACAGTATGTCAGTAACACTCTAAACAGTGAGAACTGCCGACTAGTGCGTGGCACCCCTCCCAGGTATCCTTACATGGAGGATGTCAGTTACACCTGTGCAATACTAGTATAACAGCATGTCTACCACAGCATAAAATGCAGTTAACTAAAACAATGAATATCAAATTCCCAGACAATACATAATTTATAACTAAACTGGTATATCCAGAAGCCTTTGGAGTATTTTTAAAATTATTAAAAAAATAAAAGTATATTTAAATGAAAACAAGGAACTGGAAAATATCACCATAGTGGCTGACGTTCACTACTGGGTTTAACAAAAGTTGTTTCTCTAACAGCTAGAATTTCTTACAACATAATGGAGATGAGCTTTTCTCAGTCTTAGCTCAACCCAATGCTCTTTCTGCATTATGACTAACACAGAGGAGTGAAGAACGAAAGGCACAGCTATACATAATAGCTGGTTTGAGAGAGCTGTGGAGATGGCAAGCAGATGTTCCTGAAATACTGGTGCAGGAGAACATACTCCACACAACATTTCCCTCTTTTAACATTGGCATTGATTTGCTATTTACAGTAGTTTGCAAAAATACATTATAAAAACTGGATGAGGTTCTGTTTCTAAGTTTAACTTAGTAACATACATATATACTTCATCTGCAAAAACTCTGCAGGACCTGAAGTACTAAAGTGACACGAACACTGAAACACAGATAATCAGAGGTACCAAAACACTGGTAATTCGAGTCATCATCATCAAGATAATCTGGGTAATATTGCACACTTCTTGTCAGCTGTTGCTATGACTTTCACATATCCAACTGTAAAAGGAATCCTTTATGGCTTTTTGCTGTACCACTTATATGAAGAAAGGCTGTTTTAGGTCCCATAACAATGAATGTAGACTGTCATTGAACATGAGGCCTAGGTTTCAAAATTAGTTTTCCTGTCTGTAAAATGAAAAAAACAAAAACAAAACAACAACAAAAAGGTTCAGTACACAGTTCTATCAAGCCACCATTTATCCGTTTTCCAGGGCAGTCATAGGCTACCAAAACTGCTTTCTCCATTTAGCAGTTAATGGTTATATTTTCAAAATTATCTTTGTGTAGAGCTTTCTTTTATTTTGTTACTTTAAAATACACACATGAGCTACTTTTTATGAATTCCTGTGCAATAAAAAGCAGCTAATCCACTAGATAAAAATAAAATCTCAATTTTCAGTTTGTTCTTTACCCAAATTTATAAATCTTGAATAATTTGTATTTGAGCAATGTTAAAACTTTAATTTCCTCAAGTAAAAATATAAACCAATGAAAAATCGGTATTTAGCATAAGCAGTACATGCCACATGACCCAGATAATTCCACTTCTAAGAATCTATCTGTAGGAAACCAGATATGGCCATAAAGATGTATGAGGTTTATTAATTTTCTCACAAACCAGGCTCTGCGGGAAAAGCTTGGGGTATAATAATGAACTAGACAAAACCCTTTGTCCTCGTGGAGTTTTAAAAGTTCTAGTACAGAACACACCTGTAAGTTTCCATAAACTATGTACAATAGGGGATTAAACTGTGATGCATAAAATGGGAGACTATGTAATTGTAAAAAATTAAATAACTTAACTGAGCTAATGATGATGGAGAGAGAGATCCAGGATCTCACAAATGATCACTGTCTAATAAATGGTGTCTTAAAATCCTAAGACTGGGTTCAAAGAAGCACATCTGAAAAATCTGTAACATCCTTTTTGTTAAAGTTAAGAATATACAACAAAATATAAAATAAGGTTGTTAAGTAGATTCTAGTTGTTTTAATAAATGCATTTTATTACTATCCTCAGGTGAAAAGAGCTGTCAAGATTCTGGTTACCTCTCTGTTCTCACGTTCATGTAACTTTTGGTTAAATTTTGGGGAATTTTTTTGTTATGTTGGTAGATCTTTGTTAATAATTTTTGACTGTTTTACTGAGACGCAAGTTATATACAGTAAAATGTCTGTATCTTGGGTTTTGAGTTTTGTATACACCCGCATAATTACTACCTAGGTCAAGCTAGAGACTGTCACTGCCACTCAGACAGATCCTCTGTGCCCATTTCTAGTCAATGTCCATCCTTACCTTATTACTTATAACATAACATACATTTTGTTACTAATCTTTTAGATAAATTGAATCAATGGTTTTTATTTACATCTGCTTCTTTCACTCATTGTATTTCTAATACTCACCCATGTTACATGCTTCAGTAGTTTGTATTTTTCTATACTATTACAATAAACTATTTAGTTTTAGTCTATTTTAAATCTATTTTTAATTACATAAGACATTAATGTAATCTCAAAAAAATACAAAGTCATCCTTTCCATCTATCTCAAACTTTAGAAGAAACCAGTTTTAGGCCCTCCCTGGTGGCGCAGTGGGTTAAAGCACAGCACTAAGAAGCTAAAGCCACTTCCGCATGAGTTCGATCCCCGCCTGCCCCGGAGGTGACCACATGGTGTGGCAAACCTCTCATGACCCGCCCGCTGCTCCCCTCAGCAGTGTACTTCGTCGATCTGCCTGTTCTGTTCCCCACTCTGTCTCTGGTGAAGCCTCTCACCGCCCCTGAGCCTCTGGCCTGTATCCTAGTTCTGTGTGCACAAATAAATCTTTAAAAAAAATATATATATATAGGCCCTCCCTGGTGGTGCAGCAGGTTAAAGCACTACACTGAGAAGCTTAAGCCACTTCCACATGAGTTCAATTCCCGCCTGCCCCGGGAGGAGTCCACATGGCATGGCAGGACTCTCATGACCCGCCCGCTGCTCCCCTCAGCAGTGTACTTCATCGATCTGCCTGTTCTGCTCCCCACTCTGTCTCTGGTGAATCCTCTCACCCTCTGCATCTCTGGCCTGTACCCCAGTTCTATATGAATAAATAAATCTTTAAAAAATATATATATATAAAAATACATATATAAGTATATATATGTTTACATATATAAAGTACTTTTTATGCTCTTACATGTAAAATATATATGTAAAACAAAATATATGTATATGTAAAGGTAAATCCATAGGAAATTATCTGGAAAAAATCATGTTAAAACTGTTTTTTTTTGGTAAGATTTATTTGTGCATACAGAACTGGGGTACAGGCCAGAGGCTCAGGGGTGGCAAGAGGCTTCACCAGAGACAGAGTGGGGAGCAGAACAGGCAGATCAACGAAGTACACTGCTGAGGGGAGCAGCAGGCGGGTCAGGAGAGGTCTGCCATGCCATGTGGTCTCCTCCGGGGCAGGCGGGAATTGAACTCATGCAGAAGTGGTTTTAGATTCTCAGTGCTGTGCTTTAACCCACTGAGCCCAATATATATTTTTATATCTACTGCTTGGTTTCGTTTCAAAGTAATCTAAAGAGGGTTCATGGAATACTTGCCAAGGGTTATGTTACTTTTCTCTTTATTTTTTAAAATTTATTTATGCATACAAGAGCTGAGGTGTAGTCCAGAGGTGCAGGTGGTTAGAGGTTTCACCAGAAATAAGAGTGGGAAGCAGAATTGGCTGACTGAAATACACTGCTGAGGGGAGCAGTAGGTGAGACAGGAGAGGTCTGCTGTGCCATGTGGGTCAGCTCCCTGGACAGAGATTGAACTCACACAGGGATCAAACTCATAGCTTGAAAGCACTGAGACTTTAACCTTTGTGCCACCTGGGAGACCTCTTCTCTTTACTTTTGCATGTCTGAAAACTTTCATATCTAAAACTGAAATGTTACCAAACTGAGCGTTTTGTTTGGCAACGTACCTTTTGTACCTAACATTGTTTATGGAGATCCTTCTATGTCCATGTTTATGCCGACAGATCTACTTTCGATTTCTTATTGAAAGGCAGAGCTATGGTCTATTTTACCACCCACTCCCTCCTTTGTGGAGGAACATGAAGATATTTCCATTTTTTCCACTACTGAAGCAAAATACATTGCAATAAACCTTGTGATTGCCTCTTTGACTATAGGGATGATAATCTGTCCCCCTTCCAGACAGAGAACAGCAGAATGGCTGGGTCATGAGGCATGCACATACAATTTTAAAAGAAAAATGAAACTGCCCTCCAAGATGGTTATACCAGTTAAAACAAATGGGAACTCAGTTTTACTCTGCATTTCCATGATTACAAAAGAGGCCGTCCAGTATATGTTTACTGGCCATTTATACTGGCCATTGCTACTTCTATGACATGACCTACCTTTTCCCATTTAAAATCTTTTTTCTTATTGATAAGTAGGTCTTTGTCTTACTGATTTTTAATAATCTTTAAATACTCTGGAGGTGTATGGTGGTAGGAATAAAGGTGGTTGGGTCATAATTGTCTATGGTAAAGGACTGTGGACACTTGCATGGGAAGGGTGGGGTGGTAACATCTAATGAAGCACGAAAATTCTCCTAAGTCATACATAGTGTGGTAAACACACATTATTACAAGAAAAACAAAAAAAATACTCTGGATCTATTCTCTATCATAGATACTTAATAATACTTCTAATCACAGCTTAATTTCTTGTCTTTTACTACATAAAATTTTTAAATGTCAATGCAATTAAATATATTCAGTTTCTTCTATTACAATATATTTGGCTTGTGTTTTAAGGTGTTTTTAATTCCCGAATTTTAAACTTATTCTTCCATTACCTATTGAAAT